ATTCCATTTCAATGTTTTCTCTGAGGAGTGAGTAGGAGGAGCGAATCTTCATATGATCCCAGATTTGTGGGATAATTTTTTTACAGTGTTAAGCTTCATTTTCCATGGAGACAGTCGTAGCTCGTAACCGTAATGAAAACTGGGACTGGTGGGGTGACTTGGGTGCAAAAGCAGGCCATCTGACTGCCCTGACCAGTTGAGGTGACCTCAGTCTGGTTGTACTGCTCCGCTAACCACCACCAAAGCGCCTTGGTGCAACCTTCACACCTATATCAGACTACAGTTAAACAACACGTAGGTTTTCCTCCAAACTTATTACTGTCTGAACTTGCTTGAACACACCAACCAGGTTGTGCACGATGAACTAGAGAAGATAGGATGATGCTTATATTAGCATGATCAAATTTTGCTCGTTGAACATCGTGATTTGTGGGCATGATTGGCTGTGGCGCCTTGATGAAGGGATATATGGTTACAATCATAAGCTTGTGAGGTGATGTGCCGTTGCCGTCTACCTACCTACCTGGAGGTGATGTGATCTAGTGTAAAGCAGTGGATTTACCAGTGGTGTGGAGCATCCTGTGATAGTTTATCCCTGAACCTAGGGCACATCCGTCCCGGCGCGTCACCTCTAAACCGTTATCTACTGAACTCTTTCCAACTCCTCACTTGCCTTCTCACCCACCCAGACCCCGACACCTCTCCTAGTCTTTACACATCTTATCACAATAATCTTTCTCTTATTTGGTGTTCTTTGAAGTCAAGAGACCATGTTAATTTTAGTGCTCCTGGTGGTGTGGGTGGGCTTCTTACGTCAGAGGATGTATACATAATGTAATGGAATTTTGATAGGTGAAACGGACATCCTGGCTGTGATAATTCCGCCTTTACAGATGTAAATTGTTGACTAGGCTAGGAAGGCTGTAAAAAGGGGTCTGGCTAACAGGGTTAAGTCGGGGGAGAGGAACATTCGCGGGCACTTGTTGGGTAGGGGTGGGAGGGTAAGACCCAAAGATGGGCATGGCGTATTCCTAACCCCCCGTCCCGGCCCCCATCTATGGTAATAATAATAATAATAATATCTTTATTTTACTACAAGTACATGTACAGGGTATACAGTCCTAGCTGACAACAATGACATACTACCACATAGAAAGTCCCTTGTTATGCTTAGCATTTCGGGCAAATTAGGTCAGTGTCCCAGGATGCGACCCACACCAGTCGATTAACACCCAAGTACCCATTTTACTGATGGGGAACATAGACAACAGGTGGAAAGAAACACGTCCAATGTTTCTACTCTGGCTGGGAATCGAACCCAGGCCCTCGCCGTGTGAAGCGAGAGCGTTAACCACCAGGCCACTACTACAGCTTAAACCCGCTACCACAACTTGCTACCCACTGTCAACATGTGTTATCAAATCGTTACACCTAACTATGATACAAGCTTCTTAAACGTACAAGACAGATTAATCAATTATCAGAATGGAGCATTAAGAGAATATTTACTCAGTTTAATACATATTAATAGTCTAAGAATAAGAGGCAAAATAGAGGAAATTAACAAAATATTACCTGTAAAACCGTCCTTAGCACTCGAAACCAAATGCAAAAATGAATTCTCTAGATCAGTCACAGGTACGTAGGCGTCGTATGACTTTAACTGGGAATTCTTGCATATCTGTTCGTAAATAGCAAACAGGTTAATAGTATACAGAGTAAAGAGGACTCCAGTATAGACTATCAGGACGGGCTACAGGACTTCAGTGAACTGTTCACTTACCCGAATAAGTGAAAAGCGTTGGTGCTAACTGTTCGCGATAAAGGAGGTTAGGTAAAGTTTGTCAGGAAACAGGACAAGCGTTTCCTGACGCGGGTCTTTGTCATATGATCCGCCGCTGGAGCTTTTGGTTATCTGACAGAGGCCTTCCGCTGGCTTACCGGTCCACCCTTTTAAAAATTATGGTTATGATTATAACCATGAAGGAGTCTTGGCACATTGTACCTCCAAAAGGGAGAACTAGTAGTTAGTAAAGAAAATAACCTGGACGTAAATATTACAGCAAACTAAGCTGGATCACAACGCAGTGTGCCAGATCAATCAGTCTGTGATGGATATGTGGGCCGGTGGGTCGCCAACAGCAACTGGTTGGTTGACCAGCTAATAAACAGGGAGGTCGGGCCGCGTGAGTAGGAAATCAAACCTGTTTCGTAAAGTGCAGATGATGATAACGAGATGACCTTCAGAAACTGAAAAACTAAGTTTCAAAC